ACACACAACACACACAACACACGCAACACACACACACACACAACACACAGCACACAGCAGACAGCAGACAGCACACAGCACACTGCACACTGCACACAGCACACTGCACACAGCACACAGCACAGCACACATAACACCACGCACAACACAACACACAACACACGCGCTGCACACACAGCACCGCGCACACTCCTGGAAGGCTCTGGAGAGCTCTCGTTCATCACCATCCACAGACATACTCATGTGGGGGTATCCGGTCCTCTAGTTGTACATGTACACCTACATTCGTATGTATGTATATATGTATATATGTATATGTGTGTGTGTACCAATTTACGTATGTATGTATGTATGCATGCATGTATGTATGTATGTATGTATGTATGTATGTACATTTGTTTGCTTGCCTGCTTGCATGTATGTAGCTACTTTATGAATGCACTCATGCATATAATCACACAGGCATGTATGTACTCTCATACATGCGCGCGTATCTATGCATGTATGTCCGAAAGTAGGCATCTTTGTATGCACGCATGTACGCATGTAAGTATGTACGCGTGCACTTGTGTAAGCATGTGTGTAGGTACGTACATACGTATCTAGGTATGTATGTACATAGGTAAGTACGTATGTATGTACAGACAGATGCATGCATGTGCATTCGTATGTAAGCATGTCAATCTGTGTGTCGCCTGCATGCATGCATGTGTATGTGTTGTATGTATTGTACGTACGTACCTCTGTATGTCTGTAGTTATGTATTTATGCATGTGTTCCTGTGCGCATATATATATATATATATATGTACATGTGTGTATAGATATATAATAAATGCATTTGCACATGCAGTGTGTAATTGCGTGTATTTGTATGTTATATGTATATGTATATGTATATGTATATGTATATGTATATGTATATGTGTATATACATATGTAATCAGCAAAGACCAAACCAAGCTATGGCGCCTCTTCCTCGCTGATGCCTTGCGCCTTCTTCATGCTCTCCAAGAGCTCCTGGCATTGTGTTGCGCTCAGAAGAACATGGACTGAGGTTTCAAGGTTCAGGGAAAGGAATCTTGGTTTACGGTTTTATGGCCCAGGTTGAGGGATCGTCAGCAAAAGGTTGCTTAAGTTGTCAGGGCATGAGTCAACTTTGATGGAGTGGCAGATTGTTTAAAGGAGGTCAGAACATAGACACGTGAACACGTAGATACTTCCATACACGCATAAACCAAGATTCGCTACAAGGAAGCTATAATCATGTGCTCTACAAACAAAAAATACGTACACATGAAAAAACTGTGTGAGCTGCACTACACGTCCTGTCAAGCATGACAGTCGTGGAGTCGTCGTAGCAAGTCGTCGTCTCACTCTAGAAGATGGCGATGACGACGGCGATGGCGATGGTGATGGTCATGGTGATGATCATGATGGTGATGGCCATGGTGATGGTGATGGTGGTGGTGATCATGATGATGATGAAATGATGACGGCGATGATGATTCTGACTATGGTGAACGCGAAGATGACCGGTAAATGTGGTGATGGTGGTTATGCATGTAGTCACAACAACCATGGTAACCTAACAAGCACCATCATGATGGCCATGGGAAGAGGTGAGGAACGTTACAGAAGGCAAGGCTTCTGCGAGACACGAGAATCTGAGCAAGACTGAACGCCGTCATGATGCTCATTGTTTCTGCAGTGTTTCGCGCTAAATGCCGTGACACAAATTGATACTGGATAACAACCAGCCATACCAAGTAACACTAGTACTTGGTGGCTCTAACAAGTACTAAGTCAAAGAACATAGCTGAAGACACGACGGCAATCAATAATCTTCATGAACGACATACTTAAACTTGGCCCGAATTTTTTCCAAAACACTGTCGCCAAAATCTGCACATGATTCAAGGCCCGCAAAGTGAGCCGGAAGGACAGAACGCCCGCCGGTGTCATCATCCTCGACATCCTCCATACCTGCTGGTTACGGCATCGGGCTGATCAGGCTTGGTTGGGGCTTGTGGGCGAAGCTAGAGATAGGTTTCCAAATGACAGGCGAAGGCATAGGGCTTCCCCGACAAAACCCTGCCAAGGATATCCAGGCGGCCATCATATCTTCTATTCTAAACTGACCATCGTGTGTAGATAAATGCAGCTGAAGCTTTTGAGATCGGAAGCCTAGTGCAAGTAACAGTATGGCATAACTGCCGTCCAGTCTGATCACGGACTGGCGAAGCTCAATTGTCTCGAATTTTCTACACGAGCTGTCCGGCATCTCTGCAAAAGCACGCTTCCCCCGGTCAGATGCAGAATGGCCTGCATCTGCTGACAGCTGTGCCTTCAGGCCCTCGCTAACGTTGCCTCGCTCCTGGCAGAGATTAGCATGATTAGCCCAAGTCGAAACAAGGACGGACCCCGCAAAAAGAACATGCCATCAAAGTCAAGGCAGCCATATAGCCACCCGCCGAAGCAGATTGGATGCATCTGCTGCGTCCGGTCAAAGTACAGCCAGAGTTTAGACGCACTCACACCGGAGTGACAGCAACTGCAAGAATCACGGAGGGAAAGCAGGAGGATAACAAAGACGACCAGAACGACGGCCCGGGTGAGGCCGAGGACGCAAGCAGGAAAAGGGAGTGGCGGCAGCAGAATGATGACGGACGATGACCTAAAGCCCAAACTCAAAACCCTAACCCTAGCAGTAGTCCTGGGAAGCGGTTCCAGCAACTTCGATAGCCCTGGCCAAGGCAACGCCCACTGCCAGGCCTGGCCAAGTCGCAACTCTCCAGAAAGCCTAGCTTGGAACTCCACAAAGAAATCCTTCGGTTTGCCGTTTGGTGCTTGGGGTTTGGGGTGCTCCTACTTGGATGCTGAGGGACACTCTCCAGCCGCTGCAGCAGAAACGAAAATGTGAGAGCAGGCGCTTCTAAGTCCTGCAATTCCCTTCAAGTCTGCGTCCGCTGAGGTTGCGCAATGTGCTCTCGGCAGCACTCTGCCGTCGCCCTGCTATGACAACTGCAGATTTCCTGACACACAAATCCAATGGACATGGCCCGAACATAAACAAGTCCTGAAACAGACACTTGGATGACTGGAAGAAAGGAGAACTAAAGGAGACTGCCTCCTACAATCGCGAGCAGCGTTGGGATCACAATAGGATTCTCCACCACCTCTCCATCACCTCCTGGCTGGCTGGAGCAGTGAGACTGCAGCAATTCGCAGTGGGCTCAAGGCTTTTGGGAGGGTACCTGGCAATGCCGCCTTGGAATGATTTGCGATGCTTGTCCACATGGAAAATGGTACAGTAACGAAGATGATGCGGATGATGATGACGATGACAGTGGTGGTGGTGGTGGTGGTGGTGGTGGTGATGATGATGATGCTGATGACGATGATGATGATGATGTCCATGAAATCATGGAGATGATGATGATGAGGATGATGATGATGATGATGATGATGATGACGATGATGGTGGTGTGGTGGTGATGGTGACGATGAAGCTGATGACAACGATGGTGACGATGATGGTGATGGTGATGGTGATGGTGACGGTGATGCTGATGGTGATGCCGAGTGCGAGGAAGAAGAGGGCTACCCGTTGCGACTGCAACCATTGCTTGTTTCCTCCTCGTCGTCGGCGTCGTCGTCGTCGTAGTAGTAGTAGTGATAGTAGTAGTAGTAGTAGTAGTAGTAGTAGAGGAGCAGAAGTAGCACTGGCAGTATACAGCTTCGAATACGAAAGATGCAACAGGAATCGAAAGCTCAAAGATGGTCGATGATGTCCGTACAACACCTGCTCCTGCTACAGCTGCGCTTACATCTACGACTACGGCTGGTGCTAGTGCCCCGTGTTGTGCTCACGCTCTTGCTTCTGCTCGTGCTCATGCTTACGCTACTGCTGCTGCTACTGGTATTTTTAAAAAACGACTGCCACTGGCAATGCTAAAGAAAAATCCATCGCCACTACCACTACCACTTCCGCTGCCACTGTCACCACCACTGCTACAACTACTACAAGTACTACTGCCACCGCTGCTGCGATTGTTGCCACGGCGCTACTGTAGCTGCTGACTGCTCCTGCTCCTTCTCCTCTCGCTGCTGCAGCTACTAAGTTTCTTTACTGCTACCATGTTTCATTCCAGTGCTGCTGCTGTTTCTATGCTGATTCTGGGCAGCGCTATTGTCAATTCCTTCCGATTCGCCCGATCTCACCCTGCCAGGGCTCCAAGACCACGGCTGTGAACTCCGAGACCTCCATCTCCGCCTTGGTCTCTTTGAGTTCCTGTGCAGGCTGGGCTCCGCTGTACTCATGATGGTGACGGAAGTGGGGGTGGTAGTGGAAGTGTACTTGTCGTCGTGGTCGTCGTCATAGTCGTAGTCGTAGTCGTAGTCGTAGTCGTCGTCGTCGTCGTCGTAGTAGTAGTAGTCGTAGTAGTAGTAGTAGTAGTAGTAGTAGTAGTACTAGTTAGTACTAGTACGTACTAGTAGTAGTAGTAGTAGTAGTAGTAGTAGCAGTAGTAGTAGCAGTGGCAGTAGTAGTACTAGTAGTAGTAGGAGTAGAGTAGTAGTAGTAGTAGTAGTAGTAGTAGTAGTAGTAGTAGCAGCGGTGTCAGTAGAATCAGCAAGTACTAGCTAGTTATTAGCAGGTTACTACCAGCAGTGGCAGTATCAGTAGTACTTAGTAATAGCTTTCTTCTTCATCGTAGTTTTGTTGAGGCATTCGCATTGATGGCGGTAGTGGTGGTTCAGTGGTAGTGGTAGCGCGGGAACAGGGTCAGTAGCAGCGGAGGTGGTAGTGTTTGTTGGCCACCGTGGCTTCTCTTGCTGTTCTTGTTTCTGCCATGACCACGACAACACCATTACTAACTACCAAAAGCCAACTTGCGCCTTAAGGTTGGACCTGTTTGCAGTTGCCAGAACGGCAGCAGACCAGGTGGGCTGGCAGAGCAGGGTGTGGAGTAAGGTGTGGTGCACGTTCTGGGCCGTCCTGGTTTTGCAAATCTCTCGAGCAGGTTTCCCGCTCAGGCGTGCAGTCAGCATCGGTTGCAGGACTGCAAGAGCTGTGCAAGCCTGAGTGGATTCTAGGTTCTCTGCCCGTTCTCAACAATTCAGGAAGCGGTACGGTCGACTTCTTCGCGCATGTTGAGGCCCAGCCGTTGCATCGACAACGTGACATCGTGACATCGAAGCTTGAGGAAATGTTCTAAATAGCATCCTGTGAAGCCATGCAACATTGTTTGCCTACCTGAAAGAGATCGACTCTGTTTTTCGCTTCAGTCTTCACGCTCTGGGGCGGGGTCCGACCTCTTCGCGGCGGCGAGGATGGCTGCAGCCCAGGTGGGAGCGCACCGGGACAACATGTTTTGACGATGAGAACCATTCTCTGAAGAGACATGCCTTTGACAATGAGCACAGCACATGAGAAGTACTATTTCATCGTCCGTTCGTCGTCGACGTTGTTCCCGAGGTGGTGGTGGTGGTGGTGGTGGAGTAGTAAAGTAACTAGAGCAGTAGTAGCAGTAGTAGCAGTAGTAGCAGTGGTAGTAGTAGTAGTAGTAGTAGTAGTAGTAGTAGTAGTGTTCGTAGTAGTGTTAGTAGTAGCAGTAGGAGTAGTAGGAGTAGTAGCAGTGGTAGTAGTAGTAGTAGTAGTAGTAGTAGTAGTAGTAAGAGTAAGAGTAAGAGTAAGAGTAAGAGTAAGAGTAAGAGTAAGAGTAAGAGTAAGAGTAAGAGTAAGAGTAAGAGTAAGAGTAAGAGTAAGAGTAAGAGTAAGGGGTAGTAGTAGTAGTAGTAGTAGTAGTAATAGTAGTAGTAGAAGAGAACACTTGTGTACGAAATGACAACGATCTGCTTTCATCAATCACCGATTGGATTGTTGTGGATGTACTTATTCCGATGAATGCGAATTGTACCATATTGGTTAAAGTTCTGGCTCAATTTCTCTCTCCCGTCGTGACCGGGGGCGAGTAGCAGCGCGGTCAGGAAGACGGTCCGACTTCGAATCATGCAACGCACCGAGGGCCTCGATGCGAGCACCCTTTCCCCCGAAGCGGCCAGGAAGATGGCAGGGAGGTCGGACGTGTCCCATTTAGAGCGTTGTATGCTAGGGCCAACTCCAACAGGCAGAACATCGACAAACCTACAAGATCGTCACTGCTCGCGCTGAGAGACATCATGCAACATTGTCGCCCGATGACGATACCCCGAAATCCGCGGACGAGGATTTTCAGCGTCATATACACGGGCTCCTACTTGAAGCTGGGACAAAAGATCTACCGCCCAGGCGATGTCGACGTTCCATCTTGGAAATCAGATAAGACGACTGGCGTTGAGAATGGCTGGGCTGCAGTTTGGTTCCACCAAGGTGATGTACATCGAGCAGCGTACTTCCAAGGCAGACTTCCCTCGATCCTTGTCCGACAATTCTCCGAGCCCTTGAACTGCCTAGCGGCTCATTGGACTTGGCACAATCGTAAGGGACTTTCGCATAGACTGGAGCGGGTAAGAATTCGTTTCAGGCCGAAGGTCGTCTTCGTCACCCGCAAGCCATTCAAGATCATGTGACGCCCTCCGAGTATCTCAATCTTGGGACTCATGGTGTTCGGGACCAGTGCATGTCTGAAGCAAATTCCTCGTTCAGGCCTCCAGAACCAGAGGAGCCTCCGCCAAACAGAGGATTTTACAGTCGGACAAAGAGATGGAAAATTTCACCCTAACCACTAAATGCTGCATTCACTTCTTGGTATTCTTCACTTCGTGTACTGCTCGATGGACCGGCAACCCAGGCATCATCAGTCTTCAGCCCCTTCGAATGCCACGGGGCTCGGGAAAGCATCGCGTGAGGGCCTTGTTGACCTGGCGCCTGGCGCGTGCTTTTGGTTTCTGTTTAGGGTTTGGTTTAGGGCTTGACTTGCGGGCTTGACGGCTTAAGAACGTGGATAATTAGCATTAATTAGCGTTGCAGGTGTTTAGGGATTTAGGTTTGGGAGTTGGGGCTTCCGTTCTGCGTTTGAGATCCAGTTGTGTTGGACATTGAACTCGCCAGTAACCCCGATGCAGCATCACAGAAGTTTTTCCAGGAGCTTGATTTTACAAAATGGGGGGGGGGGGTGTGAAACGCTGTGAAGCCGACGACATCGTGGACCAATGCTGCTGAAAGACGAATTTCCCATGAGCGTGAAGAGCCTTCTCACGTGGCGTAAGACCTCAAGCAAAACGGGCATCCCCTCCATTTCAGATCTATGCGTGGTTCGCCACATTTAGCACGACGGAATCGAGTTTGATCAGCATCGACATTTGCCGCACCGCTCAGGCCTGACGGATCTGCAGACCGCTGGACCGTGGGAGGCTCGGTGTTACTGGCAGTCTCCGCAGGAGTGGTTTCACAGTCAGTCTTCGCCACACCGGGCCGAATGCAGAATCCAAAGTTTGGATCTGTCGAGCTGGAGTGGGATGATCGTATTATTTGTCCACAGTCCTGATTGATGTAGCCCGGGGAGGTGCAAATCTCTGATAAGAGCGTGATGGATGACCGCTTAAAGGAATGGGTCCCGATCTTTGTCAGGTCAACCTTTTCAAAGCAGTGCTCCTTTCCCCTGCCTGTCGCGTTTCGGCCCAGCTCATGCCCATGATCAATGCTCCTGAACGCGACCGCACCCGATGAGCTCATGCCCATGATTAATGCTCCTGAACGCTCAGCCAAAGTCATCACACCGGCAACGTCAATGTCATCTACATCACAATGCCGTTTTTTTCGGTGGCTCTCTCATCCTGACGCGCCATTTTTTCAGGGGATCGTCACTGACGTAGCGAAGTGTCACAGTCACAACATTTCTATTTGGGAACAAAAGGCTCGCAACGTATTTGCAAAGTTGAAGCGGGTAAGGCGCTCATGTCTTTTTTGTCGCGACTTTCTTCCTATGTGAGCAAGACCTAAGGTGTAACTCATGGGGGTGCGAACAGACCTCGATGCCTCGTACAATTCGTTGGTGTCACAACATGAATGGTCTACATGAGCTATGCGCACAAGGACAACTGGGCCGATTCTCGGACTGTTGTTCCCCAAACCTTGCAGCTTATCTGCTCCGCCGTATGAACGCAGATTCACCGCTTTCATTCGAGTGCACCGCCAACTTTGTGGCTCAAGATTCTGCTATCAAGTTAAGCTTGCTAACATTGTAAGCTTGGGATCCGATCGTTCGAGCCATTCCCCTTGCATAGATCATCCGCTGTGCGCTTTGTGCCAAAACAAGCGAGTCCGAGTGCCTGCGAGGGAACTGGTAAAGAGTGGTATTATGTCTACTGCTCTACATCTTCAAGGGCAGCCACAACTACACCATTCAGCTCTGTGAGGTGAGCAACCAAAAAATATAACATCAACTTCAAACCCTCACGCAGTAGTAGTGATAGTAGAGAAGTAGAAGTAGTAGTGGTGGTAGAGGTAGTAGCGGTTGTGGGAGTAGTCATAGGAGTCGTAGCAGCCGTAGCAGTGGGAGCATGGGAGCAGGAGCAGTAGCAGTAGCAGTAGGAGTAGGAGTAGAGGAGTAGTAGTAGTAGTAGTAGTAGTAGTAGTAGTAGTAGCATTAATGGTGCTAGCAGTGGCAGTAGTACCAGGAGTAGTAGGCAACCCCCCTACCATTCGGGTGTGGGGGCGCGGGGTGGGGTGGGGTCAGTCACAGCGCATGGGACTGTCGGTTCGGGTGAGGGTTGTGCCGACATGTCAGGTGCCGGAGTACATAAGGTATATTCTGATGTTCGAGGTCTATTCACTTTGATGTTGTTTATCTGATTTAGTTCGGCCTTTTGCGCTCCCCTGAGTTGCCAATTGAAAGGCATCGACGGCTTCACACTAGGTCGCTCCTGAGAGGCTGCGCGTGCAAAGTCAGGCAAACGTGGTGAAAGTAACTAGTAGTAGTATCTTTCGCAGTCATATTCATAGTAGTGGTAGTGCTAGTAGTAGTCGTCGTCGTGGTGGTGGCGGTGGTGGTGGTGGTAGCGGTAGTGTTCGTGTTCGCGGCGGTGGTGGTAGTGGTTGTGGTGGTAGTGGTGGTGGT